ACCGCCTATGTAGGTCCACGACCAATCCTGGACCAGCTTTGCAGGGACTAAGTCTGGCACAGTCCAAACCCAGTCTATTGCCAACCCCATTCCAAAGCTAAAACAGAACTTTAAGCACTTTAAAATCGTGATAATCAATTGGAAAATTTTCTGGAGTAAGATCAATCTTTTCCGTTGGGTTTAGAAGTGCATCTCACTCTTCTAGTATAAGTAACGCATTATAATAAAGAAAAAAGTTTACATAAGTTTGCAACCTTAAAATGTAGAATTAGATATGTACTTCAAAAATCCATCAGAAAAGGTTTTTTTAATGTTAAAAAAACATCTAATTGATCATCTCGAAATCGATATATGAAGATGAAAAAAGAAAAAAAGATTTTGAGTCCCAGAAATTGTGCATCTTGGAATACATTATCTAGACCGTCCATTTCCAAGATTTTCATATTTTTATAGATCTACTTGATTTTAAGCATTTTTGAAGTTAAAAATTTTATAATTAGATATGAAAATAGATTTTTAGATAATCTTTAGAATTTTTTCACCAAAATTACATGTTATGATAAAATTTGAAGGTGCGCCTTAATTAGATTGTTTAAGGTTGCAACCTTATAAAAACCACACCCATGACTTTGAAAGTTAGAAGCTAACTTTGTGCCAAAAAAACAAAAGTCAGCAGTGTTCCTTAGGCATATCATATTCTTGCACCGTTTACTTTATGAAACTACTTAACTATGTCCAGGTTCGTAATTTGTAGAACTCGTGATTTTAGTGGATAATAATTGCCATGAACTTCGAAAGAAAGTTTTTGAACTTCATGAACGTTGAAAGAATTGCCATGTAAAAGTGCATGTACCTTTGTCACTATGATTTTAATTACATAAATATACAAAAGCAAAAGCGCCATCAAATTCAATGATAGTAACCTTAACGACAGAATAATATAATAGATAAATTCATGGTAACTAATTCCAAATAATTGAGATAAGACGTCGACGATAACGATGATGAAACCCATGTCAAAATTAAAATACTATCTTGTATAGTTTGTCCAGAATATATTATGAAATCCATAAATCAATAGCATCAAATCTGGACAATGGGGAGAGAGTGGACTCGACTTGAATTTATCAGGTTAATGGATGGTGATGACAAATATGAGCATAAACTCCTATGGTCATACTAACTTAGTTTAAGATCATAGCAACACAGTACATTTTTCATAAAAAACTAGTTATTTAAAATTGCTGGATCCATATTCGGTGGGGACTCGGTCCTTACTCTTGATATCGGAAATTGGCACGATATTGATTGGCTCTTTTGATTATGTTAGAGACATGTCGGGCAATCTCGGTCATCATGTAGTTCCCAACGATTGTATTTTTAATTAGATAAATGATCCTATAGGACCCTCTTCTACCTATGTGGGTAAGACCCTAAAGGATCACCATGAAATTTGGTACGGATCTATATAAAAATCAAGTCCCACACTCATGTGATAATTTTTCTAGAGATCCGTGTCAATTTTAATGGTGATCTTTTGGGGTCCTACATATATGGGTGAAAGAAGGTCCTATAGAATCATTACTCTTTTAATTAATATTTTAATTTTTAGAATTTAAAAATATTACTCAAACTTTTTTTTGGATTAATTCACTCACTTTAGAATCAAACTAATACGGCCTAGATCAACGACCCGGATTTGTTTAACAGGTCTGCTTCTTGGTTCAAATTTTAAATGATTACTGAAAACTACTCTGCGTCGTCCTAAGATAAGAAGCACAAAAGGGAGCGAAATCATTCTAGACAATGGAGAGTCGATGATGAGAAGTATTTCAAAGCCGAAATTTGTGAGGTGTTAAGGTTGGACAAGTGAATCGTCGATCTGATTGGGGCATGATTAAGTCATGATTAAGTTTGAATTAACGATGCAAAAAAATATTTAAAATAAAACTTAATATAAAAATTAGAATTAAAATGAATTAGAATTTATGACATGGGAAATATTAAAAATAAAACTTAATATAAAAATTAGAATTAAGATGAATTAGAATTTATGACATGGGAGATTTAGGGGCAACTTAAATGAGCTTTAAAAAAACATGAAATGGGATTTTAGGTAAGGGAGGGACGACACCAATACCTTAACCAGAACTAGTTCGGTTCCAGCCGATCCGGTCAGGATCGGTGACTGCCGATCCACATCACCGGGTTATGAACACTTATAACGACAAATAAAGAGCCCGTTTAATTTTGTACAAATATACACACGCATGTACATCAAAATGTTTTGGGTGTTTAGTAAAATGTTTCAAGTTAAGATCCCAGAAATAAAGAAATGTGCATGAAAAGTATGAATATTTGCATTATTAAAAATAGTCCCATATCATTTTTTTCTCAAGTCCCTTTTCTTTACATCAAATTTTTATCGTTTGCAAACAACCCATCGGGTTTGGCATCTAAATCCAAATTTTTTTCTGGCAAAAACAAGGGTTTCTAAGTACAAATATGGTTTCGGCATTTCATATGCTATGCTCAGATCTTTCAAGAAGTAAGTGCACTTGAACTATGCTCGCACTTGTACTATGCTTGCACACTGCTCCCTCAGGGCAAAAGAGCAACTTACATATATTTGGAGGATACTGTTTGGGATTTGAAATGTTGGGTTCTGCAAATAAATAATAATATATATATATATATATATATATATATATATATATAATCGGTCTCTTTTAAGTTTTGGGGCTCTAAACAATCAAAATAAAGCACACCTTCAAATACTGTCGACAAATATGATTTCAATATTGAAAATTTTTGTGATAGCCTTAAAATATATTTTCATCTTTAATTATAAAATTTAAAGCTTTAAAAATAGTGTAGCTCAAGAAGATCTATGAACGGCCTAGGACCAAAAGAGTGCCCCAACAAAAATCTAAAATCACGTATTTAAAGCAAAAACATTATTAAATTATTAATGGCAAAATTCTCACTAAAATGAATGAAAACAAATTCTTTTGGAAGTATAGGTTGAGAAATCAATTTGATCAATTAACATCGTCCATAAAGGAAATGTGACTAAAAAAAAAAAATGCACAACCTGGGATTTAATTATTTATATTTTGATGAAGTTTCAATAAGGCCTAGGCTTTATTAAAAAATAAATAAAGCCTCGCTTAAGATTGTCTTTTCAAAAGCACCTGAGGCGACGAAAATCTCTATGATGGCTTAAAATCAATTTCCAACACCGACAGTGAAATTTGAAACTCAAAAAAACTACAGATCTTGCATATTTATGAACACTTCATTTTTAAGGCAAAATACGGTTTAGATAGTTTATTACAATATATGCTACTTTTAGAACTCGAAATCCTTTTTTGTTTTCACAACCATAAGCCAAGATGATTGATGTAACAGTTTTCCAATACTTCAATTGTAAATTTCTTTGATGAATTATGAGGTGAGGCTTTACATATTTTGATAAGGCTGGAGCCCTATCAAACTATTTTTCTTTATTATTTATGTTATATTATTGAGTTACAATTTAAGGGCAGATAAATGTTGCAAGAATAAAAAGAGTCACTATCCTTAATGTAACTTATAAGGAATACCTCTTTAGTGCATGAAAGATAAGATATGGGGCATGTGACCTTTAAAGAATAAGGTGCTCATGGCACCATGTGGGTAATTGACTTCCTGTATGTGGTGTAGACAGCGTAGGGTAACTAACGGACCCTAGAGCATTGTTTACTTACCCAAAAAAAAAAAACTGATGGACCCTAGGGTGGATACAGGGTAAGTGACTTTCAAAGAGAAGGCGTGCAGTTTAGGGTAACATCTTATAGTGGTGGACGCACGTCACCTTAATAAAAAGGGACCTTAGAGAGGATATAGGGTAAGTAACCTTTAAAGATAAGGTGTTGATCCAAGGTAACAACCTTTGTAAATACTGACCTAAATGAATTGTGACAGAGAGAAATCGTTCCTTCTGATGAGCACGTATGCTATGCTCTTTCATGAGCATAGTTTACGTCTATGCCCTCAATCAAGAGACCTACTTTTCAATCGGAAATTTTAGAAACCACCTAAGATTTGATCAGATGATTATTGTCAAAAAGACAAAATTTGAAATTTGAGTTATCTAACACTTAGATCTTACCTTCAAAAAATTCAACAATTTCTATTCAATTTTGAGACATGTTTTTTATCAAACGCGTAGAGGGTACAATTAGAAAATTTTTATTAAGGTCAATCTATGTGTTAAATAGCTTATATCCTTAAAATTTAAGATCCTAAAACCACTCCTTGGTGGGATTTTAGTAGAGGGAGTAAATGTACAATATACTCCTCAAGAAGTAGTACTCCTCTTGGAGCACATATACTATGCTTCTTAAGAAGGATACCGTGCATCTCCTCCCTCGCTAAGAGCACCTATAGATAGGAGAATTTTCTTAACCTAAAATTTTGAAAAAAATATATTAATTGCTAGATTATTTTTAAAAAAAAAAAATTTAAAAATATTACATTTTACAACACTTCTAAGTAAAATAACATTGAGGACGAAATTTACTCAAAATGAAAACACCCAAAAACCGTTAAAACTGACGAAACATTCGTTGCGGAATGTTGCAAGCTGCACTCCGAAATTTCGGTCATCAGGAATAGGCACGCTTGTTGGACGGACGGCTGACATCTCCCCTAAAGAGTGCCTCACCAAATGCTGACCGCCCGATCTGATTTATAGGCAACCGTTGAACACGTCGCTAATCTCGTTCCGCGACGTGGTAAGTCCTGGGGAACGTTACGGACACGCGTCATCATCTGAAGATGATCGCAGAGGCTCCGAAGGCCTTATCCGATCCGGAAACACGTCATCGAATTTTCGTTCTCTCTTCGCCACGTCTCTTGTATGAAAGCCACGTGGTGTCTGTTAGAAAACACGTGGCACACCCACGATCCTCCTCCTCTTAAGTTTCTATGGTCTATATAAAGCTTCCCACTACAAGTACGAAAACGAAGGGAGAAAACGAAAACCAGAAAGAAAGAAAGAAAGAAGATTTAGAGAGAGAGAGAGAGAGATCGGTTGTTTTAGAAAGCGAGAATGCAGGCTGGGAAGAATGCTGTGTCTTCGATGAAGGAGACGGCAGGGAACGTTGCCGCGTCGGCCAAGGCTGGGATGGACAAAACTAAGGCAACAATGCAAGAGAAGGTTGGCTCTCTTTCTGTGTTCATTTGTTTCGGATGTGAGCTCACTCTCTCTCTCTCTACGAGTTTCTGTTCATGTGCGAAGTATATCATGTATAACGTTTAAGGATTATACGTATGATAAGAATTTACTTTGATACAAAGAGGTCTAAATCATCTTACTATTAGATTTGAAGTTAGATGGTTCAGTTTCAATAAGTTTTTTTTTTTAATTTTGATAGATTTTTATCTAATAGATTATATTTACCAGCTAAAAATGATTGTGATTAACAGTTAAAAATGATTGTGACTAAAAGTAATTTGATGACATATAGTCCATGTATATTAAAAAATTTACCAAAAAAAAAATGCTGTAGATGATCTTATAAAGCACTATTAATGGTGAATTGTAAGAAACATGTTCTAAAAATTGGTGTGGCCTGCATCAAGTTGCATCCTTAAACGATCAAAACAACGTGCACCTCCAAACTTTGTAGTGAGATAGTGAGATTGATTTTGGTGTTTATAATTTTTAGGCTGGTGGGAAAGTCTCTTCTGTCTCTAATTATAAATTTTTTAAAATTTAAAATTTTTTCAGATCAAGCAATACATTTATAAACGCATGGAAACCTTGAAAATGGATGTCCAGAATCTCTTTCTTTTTTATATCTTGTTTTTTTTTCTTTTTTTCTTTTTCCGTACTTTACATTTTAATGTTGAGATACTCAATTATATGTTAGTATAATACCAAACCCATTTTTGTCAAAACACTTCAAAGGTGCACGATTGAACAAAATTTACCTCCTTTGCCACTAAATTTGAAAGACAATTTTTGTTAATGAATTTGTCTTAAAAAAAAAAAAATAATCCAAGAAGGGTATCTTTGACCAATGTTATATACATAAAGCTCGACAATTTTTTCTGGACCCGTAGGTTGAGAAGATGAGCGCTCACGATCCAATGCAAAAGCAGATGGCCCAACAAAAAAAGGAAGCGAGGGTGAACGAGGCCGAGATCAACAAGCAAGAAGCCAAGGCCGAAAACGCTGCTCAAAAGGAACAAGTCCGGGCTGCCGGTCACGGCACCGGTTCGGCACTTCCCGGTCATGGAACTGGGCAGCCTCACGATCAGCTGTTGGATCGTACGGCTGGTTCTCATCCCATCGGTCACAATACCGGAACCGGCGGTACCACTACGCGGGTCCCACTATCCGGTCCGACTGGGCAGACCGGGTATGCGACTGGAGCCCACTACGGTTGAGCTGTTGCCTATTCTAGTCCGGGCTTTTTGCACGCCTAAGTGAGGGCTACGGCGGTTTCTGCCTTTCTATGCTTTTGGTTAAAGCAGGTTGCAATAGATTTTATTTTCTTAATTTAATGGTTTTGTTTTTGTTTTTGTTCCTCCCCCGGGCATTAGGTGTTGCAGTTTGGTTAGGGGTGCTTGTTTCTATTGTGTTGAGCCCTCGGATTGTTTCTTACTATTTAATAATATATTTTGTGGGTGTGTTTTTTTTTTCAAGGCTTTGGCTTTGGTTTTTTTTTATTTTTTATGTGATAGCCCTTGTAGCTTGAAAATGTGATGGCTTTACTTATAATCTCGGGCAGCATTTAATTGTGATTGGTTGGTGCCCGAGTGAGCATTTATTTGTTGGAACGTCCATAATTCATCAAACATTTACCACTAGCAGTCGATTTCTTTTTATTTGGGTTCGGAAAGGGTGTGGTTTGTGTGATGTTGCCAAGATCTATTTTTGTTATGAAAATTATTAGGGCTTTAGAATTGATTTTTATCATTAATTATAACATTTTAAATTTAAAACATGGTTAAAATTATTTATATTTATAAATATATAAAAATCTTGAAAATGAACGATTTGAATGTTGTAAGATGTACTAATTTTCAAGATTTGAATTTTTTGTTGCTAATACATCTGAATGAATGTTGTGTCGTAAGATGTATTATTTTTTGGATTTGTAATTTTGTTGTTATTATTTTTATACGTCTCGAGTGATTAATAAGAAAGTTATCCAACATAAAAAAAAAAAGTTAATGGATTTTTTAGTACACTGAGTTTATAATTTAAGGTTGCGACTTTAGATGAATAGTTCAATGTTGAAAAAAAATTTATGTTAAAGGAAATAGCGGAAAAGTTTGAATGTTAAAACAAAATTATATGTTAAAAAGGAAATTCAAGGCGCGTTGGCACTTTTGTAAAGTAATTCTCAGAGAGAGCTTTCTCACTTTTTGCATGTGTTCTCGAATAGAACTCTCCCAGGTAATTTGTGTACATTAGTTAGCGATCAATTAGAGTAAAAGAAACTATCCTTACAAGCTAATTGGTCTCGGCTGTGTAAATTTTTATGCTAATTAGCAGCCATTTAGTGTAAAAGAAACTCGCAAATTATATGGGGGAATTTTTTAATGTGGATATTTTTATGAAAATAATGTTTTACGCATTGCCATGTGTACTCGAGGCAATAAATGAAGGGGAAAAAATCGCCTCCCCTTGCTCTCTAAAATTGTTTTTCGGGATTTTTGAGTTTCATTACAAATGAGGTCATATGCGGGGATTTCAGACAAGTAATGGTGATGGAAAAAGCACATACCTCTCTCTATCATTGTTTCTAATGGGAATGTAATGATTCATCTAAACAAAAGTATTGTTTCTAGATTGTTTCGAATGGGAATGTAATGATTCATCTAAACAAAAGTTAATAGACTTCATTATCTTTTTAATGTAAATTGTAGACTCTTTATTTTTTTAGTTTATTTTTTTGTTTTCAATTTTTACACTTAAATTAATTCGTATTTTTTAATTTTTTTAATAATTTTTTTATTTGAATTTACTCGCACATCTAAATAGGTGGTGTTGTGTTGAATTCTTTCCATTCTTCTAACAATTTTTCTATTTTTTATTTGAATTTATTCGCACATCTGAATAGGTGTCGTGTTGAATTGATGTCATAAGGCTAATCCATTTAAATCTACTCTCCCCACTTAAATCTATTCTATGTATTGGAGATTGGTGCTTGTGGATATTGAGAATGTGGCGGGTTGGTGAACTTTTGTATCGGTGGTGATTGGTGCTTGTGTATATTGAGAATGTCGCGGGTTTGTGAACTTTTGTATCGGTGTTGTGTTGAATCGACGTCACATGGTTAGCCCCAAGGATTAAAAAAAGCCGAGTCGAGCCGGACTCGTCTGGTTCGACTTGGGAACCGTCATAGAACGAGTCGGTTTTATACATAAAACAAGAATTGTCCGTATTTAGAGGGATTTAGGTGGTTTTAAACGATTTTAAACAGTAAACTGCTCGATGATATCATCAATCGACGGTTCTAACGTTACCATTTTGATTCTACATATACATGTGCAGATGTCATCACTTCGACATGGACACGTGATTCACGTGTGAGGTTGTCTCAATGTTTCCGCGTGTATGTTTTATTTCATATTACATAGGTATTTATATAGTAAAGTTGAATATCCTTTCGATGTGGGATAATTTTCAAATATCATTAAATGAAAATAGAATGTAAATATATTTTATTAATCAGCGATTTATAATCATATGTGGCGAAGTGTGATGGTTATGATCTCTGTTATTTTTTTTGATGTCCCAAGGTCGAATTACCTTGTGCGTTATATTTTTGTTGTATATAGTAGTATAAATATTTTTTTAAATAATATAAAAGATATAAAAAAATTAAAATTAAAAAAGTTAATTTTTTGTATAGCAGTTAATTTTTGTTGTATATAGTGGTATAATTATTTTTATAAATAATATGAAAAGTATAAAAAAATAAAAAATAAAATAAAATCATGTAATGTACGTATTTTATTAATTTTTATATTGATAATCAAATTTTTTATTTTATTTATTAATTTTTATATTATAAATCATGTAATGTATTATTTTTTTTACAGTTGTTAATAATATATTTTAAATTAGATAATATTATAAAATATTTTTAATTTGTTATTATTTGTCAAATAAAATAATTATAAAATGTAAACTAATAATTATAATTTTAGTATATAATATTATAATTAGTTAGGTTGTAATAATTTGGATTATAGTTAGTTAGGTTATAATAATTTGGGTTTTTTTAACGGATTAGGGTTTTTGGCCAAAACGTAATTTTAATGGCTATTTTTCATTGATTTAGTCTACTTTTTATAATAGTCCATGTATAATTATATAGTTTATCCATGATAATTTTATGATTTTTCTTTTATGTGATGTAAATTTAATGGTTAAAATAAGTTTATACAGGTAAAGAGCATCTCAATATTCACAAATTGATGAAAAAAATGAAAGTTAATAATACAGTATCTTCATTTTTTATTGGATTTCTAAAAGATAATATTTATAACGAATTTTAATATTTTTTTTGAAATTTTTTTAAAGCTTAATTCGATCGATTCAGTCAATTCTCGATTCGGATCGTCGATTCGAATGGGTTTTTGAGATGTCCGATTCGAGACACCGATACGCGTTTTATTGCCCATTTAAATTTACTCTTATCACGTATTGGTGCTTGACTGGGTTTGTGGAGTTGTGCTACTGGAGGGTCTTGACTTTTAGTTATTCTCGAGATTCAAAAAAATTGATTATATTAAAGATGGGCTAGAACGAGATTCAAAAAATTGATTATTTGATTCAAAAAATTGATTATTTTAAAGATGGCTAGAACGAGATTCAAAAAATTGATTATATTAAAGATGGGCTAGAACTTGGGTTTAAAAAAAAATTTCTAAAGAGACGAGAGGTAGGGTTGAGCGGGACGGTGTGATATAAAGAATACAAAAAAATAAAATAGTTAAAAGATAGGGATAGGTGGGACAGGGCTGATGTAAAGACGGGCAGAAAAGAATATGATTTAAGGATTTATTTGAGATTATAATGCCAAAAACGATTTTTAATTAGTTCATGGACATTCTAGGGATCTGAAATTTTGAGATTACAATTGCCATAACGAAGGTATATATCTTAATTATGAGACTAATATATTTTAATTAGAGGTGATCCATGGGTTATAGTGATCTAGGCAAAATTTGAGGCATGCATAATTTGGGTATCTTACAGGAACAAATGTGACAATGATAATAATAATAATAAAATATTTGCTCTGATATAAATTATTGGAATACTTTGGAAAATTGTAAGGGATATTTTGATAATTTATTTTTAAATAAAATATTTGTTTTTTATTTTTTTGGGTTTGTCCTAATTTTATGATGGTATGAACAAATTTTATTCAAAAATATTTTGTAGAAAAATAAAAAATAAAATAAGTGTTTGGTGTGACATTGTGGTATGAACAATCATAGATTTAGATAGAACAGCTAAGAAATGGCCCCATGTGGGGTTACATAAAAACATTTCCTTGGGTTAAAAGGCTTTCTATAAATATGGGGTTTTGAAATTAAAAGTTATGAGTATCGACAGGATCTTTTTGGAAAAGATTCTCTTTGAAATGCGATTAGAACGAAGATATGTCTCTTTCTTCTTTAAAAAGAAAATTGAAAAAAGGTCTGTCTGCATACTGGTGCCACCATAACCTTAAGCAGTTAAAAGTACGGTGCGGTTGGCATGCGGATGCATGCGTAGCGGTAAAGGGGGGGTGCACCTTCAAATTTGATCATTATATATAATTTTGATGTAAATGTTTTTAGGATTATCTCAGTATCTATTTTTATATTTAATTATAAAATTTTAAATTTTAAAAATGGTTAAAATCAAGTATATCTATAAACATATGAAAATCTTGAAAATAAACGGTATAGATAATATGTTGTAAAATACACTATTTGTGAGACTTAAAATATTTTTATTTTCATGGTCATACATCTCGATGACGATACGATCAATCAAAGGGTTTTTCAATATTAAAACTACTTTTTTGGATGGATTTTTCAAGTGCATCGGTAGCTCTAGAGGTAAGGTTACAACTTTATATAAACTTTTTCTATTAAAGTAAGGTAGTATCGTTTTGGAAAGGGAAAAGTTTATATAGAGCCGAGGCTCCAAACAATCAAATTAGAGCTCACCTCAAAATTTTCACTAGAAGAAGTTTTGATATCCAAATATCGTCAAATTGATCATTTTTCCATCAAAATGCATGGACATGAGAAAAAATAGATTTGAAAATAGTGCATCTTATAATGCATTTTTGGACCGTCGATTTTTTAGATTTTCAAGTTTTCATAGATTTGCTCCATCTACACGAAGCTTTAAATTTTATAATTAGCGATGAAGTATTGAAACCACATTTCTTGATACTATTGGAAGTTGCGCTTTATTTTGATTGTTTAGTGCCTCGACTCTATATAAACCGTACCCTTTTAAAAACAGGTTCTCTTTGAAATCATATTAAAATAAGGCATATGCCTTTTTCTTCTTTAAAAAGAATTGCGACCATAACCATGAACAATTAAAATAAGATGCACTTCTAAATTTTGTCATGAAATGTAAATTTAGAGCCGAAAATTTGAGAGAAACCACGTTTCTCTAA